TCCTAAATGCATCCCCTCAAACTTCTGTTTCTGTGTAAGTTCTTTAGTAGAGAGCGCTATAGGCTGGTGATAGAAGGTACCAACGTGCAAGGAAATGTAGAAAGGACAATAGGTGGCCGAAAATATGGATCTGTAGACCTCAAACCTCCCTTGCATCAGAAACAGCTCTGGTAGGTGGAGAATTTCAGCTTCCACCCCTTAGACATTCCAACTCAAGTGGTCTAGGGTGATTTTAAAATAACAAACAAACAAATGGAAAAAGGAAAATAAGAAACTCCCCAGGTGATGCTTCTGATGCACAGCCAGGGCGAAGAACCACTGAAGCAGATGATGTACAAATACTCCAGGGAACTTTTTCCCCTAGGCAATGCTAAGGGAGGCAATGTGTGTGGGACTAGAGTGGGGAGCAGAGCCCTGGTCACAGAGGCTGAGCAAGTGTGGGCTCACATTGTCATCTTACCTTCCTCCTCTCCGGAAGAAACCAGGAGAGTATCTGGGCTAGGGTCCCCAGAGGACAGGGGTTGAGGATACCAGAGAGCCTGAAAAGGCAGAGCTGTGTAGGGCTTAGGAAATAAATCATTTCCAGAATGAATCTCACTCTTGCCCTACTTAGAGTGTGGAAACACAACGTGGTGACATTGGGGCATCGAGCCTCACAGATGTGGCCATTTCGTGAACATGCTTCTAACCTTGCAAAGGCATGCAAGGCCGTTTACTTCTCCTCCCACTCCCCCGATAAAGTATGGGCCACTCAGGGCTGATGAAGGGTTTCCAGGAAAGTGGGTGATTTTAAGATTTGGGAGAATAATTCCCTAATGTGTTTCAGGCCAGTCTCACAGTGGCAGTTCCTGATGCATAATCACTCTGCAAGAGAATGTCATTATAGACTGCTTCAAGGAAGCCAGACCCTCATCCTGCAAGTGCAGGGCTTCTGGGAATCCTGAGGACCTATTCCTGGCATATGATGTCAGGGTGCTTGATTTCTCTCTCCCTGTTCCTTAACTTCACAGACAGGAAAATAGGGCCAGAGAAGACCTGGAAGTTGCTCATCACCCCAGGGTTTGTACTGAGTATGAGATCATAGTTCCCAGTTGGTTCTGAGACACAGCCAGCTCATTCAGGTTGGTGAGTTTTTAGTAGACAGTATCCCAGATTTATAATCTAAAAAGAGAATGAAATTGGGAACATCAGATAATTTTCTTTCTTCTCTGCCTCCGTTTGTCTCTGTGTTTCTTGGTTGTTGTCCGCCATTTAATCCAGGAATATAGAATGCATAAGAACCTCTAGGGGATTTACAATTAAAGAGATTCTGGTGACGATATATTGCCTTGAATCTGGGGTTCTACTTCATGCTTTTGATTGGGTGAATTTGGATTTTTCTGCCCATTAGCCGTGCTAAGTAGCCCCCACAGTCTCCACTGGCCTTCTCACAGATGAAAACCAGCTGTGAGCTGGAGAGTTACCGAAAAATTATTGATATAGGTAAAGGAAGTTTGTCTTCAGATATCTCCCAAAATGTAGGAACCCCAAAAGCTGAACTGATCTTCAGCTGGTATCACTGTTCTGATTGGCCAGGCCCATACACAACTGGTTGTCAAATACTTTTAACGTTACCTCTCCTTCAAAGTGGTGGCATTCTTCTCTCAAGTGGAGAACCCACCTCTCACCCTTACTGGGTAAGCAATGGCTATGTACCTATTCTCATGCCCCTGCATCCAAGGAACATTCGCTTCCCCACAGTGGGGTCCTTTCGACACCTCTATTGACTTGTGATTTTGTTGTCACAAATATGTCAATAGAGAGTGTTAATTTAATCAATACCTGTCTCTAGGGAGCTGGGAGAAGATGGGGACAATGGGCAGTATTGGCCAGTGGCCTATACAAAAGGACCACATATGACCACTTGGAGACATTATAATTCTTGCTAATTCTGACAGAAAAGCCACCTCTGGGGAATGGTAAAAAGGATATAGATTCAGCTCCAGTCCCTCTAACACCTGGGTCCCTCCCTGGCTGTCATGAGTCAAGGGAGGCTCATTAACCGTTCAGTGACTAAATCTCATCCTTTTGATTAACTGTCTCAATCCAGAACCAGCTAGCATAGTGCACGAAGGTGGGGCACGAAAAGGTTACATCACCTCCTGAATACCCAATTCATCCCGGGAGCAGTTGGTATCACCCCGCTCAGTCTGCTCAATACCCACAAAAGCCTGTTCCCTTTGAACAAAGAATCAGTTGCTACAATTGCCCTACAGCAGATGCATCTGGTTTAGATATCTATTCTCGCAACCTAAATTGCAAAGCATTTTCCAAAAGCCATTGAGTTGCAGAATTTTAGAAATGTATTTGATTGCCAGATCTGCAAATTGGGTCACTTTTCCAGGGCCTTCTGCTTCCCCCTTTTCCACGGGGGAAAAGGAAAAGGAGGCAGTCAGCAGCTGGTGATTGAAACACAATTCTCCCTGGCACGTAGGTCTTGGCTACCATCTGTGTGTTATCCTGGCCACGATCCCCTGGCACTCCCTCGAATGCCTGGGCCAAGGCCTGCCCTTCCTGATGACTGCCCTCTGGATTCCACTAACAATCAGGGTGAAACCACGGCAGCCTGCACCCCTGCTGCTCTTCATGGCTTTTAACAGATTAACTTAAAAAAAAAAAAGTGTATTTATTTTTGAGAGACAGAAGAGACAGAGAAGCAGAGAAGCAGAGGGAAAGAGAAAATCCCAGACAGGTTCCATGCTGTCAGCACAGAGCCCGACATGGGGCTCAACCATGAGACTGTGACCTGAGCCAAAGTCAGATGCTTAACTGACAGAGCCACCCAGGCACCCCAAAACTTTTATTTAGCTTATTTATTTTCAGAGGGAGGGAGAATGGGAGAGGGGCAGACAGAGGGAGGGAGAGAATCCCAAGCAAGCTGGGCACTAACACTTAGCCTGGCTCGGGGCTTGATCCTATGAACCGTGAGTTCATGACCTGAACTGAAACCAAGAATCAGACGCTTAACTGACTGAGCCACCGAGACCCCCCATGGCTTTTAATCATCTGAGCCTCAGGAAAGTCTGTGAGAAAATTAGAGGAGGTATAATTATCCTCATTTCATAGATGAGGAATATTGGGCTCAGTGAAAGTGAGTGACTTTACTCAATGATACACAGTTTATGGTGATTCTGCATCTTAACCCATATCTTCTGTCTCTTGGTCTAGTGTTCTTTTCATGAAAATACATGGCTGTAAAAAAGTTGGTAAGGTGGGGCGCCTGGGTGGCGCAGTCGGTTAAGCGTCCGACTTCAGCCAGGTCACGATCTCGCGGTCCGTGAGTTCGAGCCCCGCGTCGGGCTCTGGGCTGATGGCTCGGAGCCTGGAGCCTGTTTCCGATTCTGTGTCTCCCTCTCTCTCTGCCCCTCCCCCGTTCATGCTCTGTCTCTCTCTGTCCCAAAAATAAATAAACGTTGAAAAAAAAAAATTAAAAAAAAAAAAAAGTTGGTAAGGAAAGGAATCTGTACGAAGTGGTTTGTCTGGGTCCACTTCATTGGATTGGAATTACGCAATGTGATATTCTTCTTTAAAAAAATTTTTTTAGGGGCGCCTGGGTGGCTCAGTCGGTTAAGCGTCCGACTTCAGCTCAGGTCACAATCTCACGGTCCGTGAGTTCGAGCCCCGCGTCGGGCTCTGTGCTGACAGCTCAGAGCCTGGAGCCTGCTTCGGATTCTGTGTCTCCCTCTCTCTCTGCCCCTCCCCCGTTCATGCTCTGTCTCTCTCTGTCTCAAAAATAAATAAACGTCAAAAAAAAATTAAAAAAAAATTTTTAATGTTTATTTATTTATTTATTTTTAAAAAAATTTTTTTCAACGTTTTTTATTTATTTTTGGGACAGAGAGAGACAGAGCATGAACGGGGGAGGGGCAGAGAGAGAGGGAGACACAGATCGGAAACAGGCTCCAGGCTCTGAGCCATCAGCCCAGTGCCCGACGCGGGTCTCGAACCCACGGACCGTGAGATCGTGACCTGGCTGAAGTCGGACGCTTAACCGACTGCGCCACCCAGGCGCCCCAATGTTTATTTATTTTTGAGAGACAGAGAGAGCACACAAGTGAGGGAGAGGCAGAGAGAGAGGGAGACACAGAATCTGAAGCAGGTTCCAGGCTCTGAGCTGTCGGCACAGAGCCTGACGCGGGGCTCAAACTCACAGACTACGAGATCGTGACCCAAGCTGAAGTCAGATGCTTAACCGACTGAGCCACCCAGGTGCCCCTGTGTATTCTGCCTTTTAAATGCATAGATGATTAATCTGGTCACCAAAAACTTCATCTTAATCACCAGTATTATAAAGAGGTTGATATCAAAAATCAATGCATAAGATGGGACTTATTGTATTAATATTCTGTGTTATTTACTGTAATACCATAAAAGACTATAAATTACAGATTATATTTTTATGGCTAAATCCAAGATTTTTCATATTAATGGGTCCCTCGCCCATTATTATGCATCATGAAGTCAGTTTAATGGGTTGCTACCAGAATTAAAAGGAAAAATAGGGTAAGGTAGGATAGAATACAATTGGAAATATCACAGTGTGTTGTATGTAGCCAAGGCAAGTAATGTTCTCTGAATCCTTTTGTTCGTATGTTAGGTATACTGGATCACGATGTTTAAAGTGCTTTGTTCCCTCCCTCCCCCCTTTCTCCTTTCTCCGTCATTCTCTGTCTCCTTCTCTATGTATATAGGAAGGGTACCCAAACATCCACTACCTGTCCTATGTACAGGTCCCTCCACAACCCGCCCCAACCCTCACCCATCCTGACACGATCATATCCTCATCCCTGGGTCTGAAGCAAGGACTGTCCTCTATAGTTGATATTTTCATGCTCCTTCTGTTCTCCTGTCTGTTTGCAAAGGTCCTTTGGTAGTGTGATGCTCGAAACAAGGTTTGCTAGTTCTTTCTATGTGTAATAAACAAATTCTCCCATCTCTAAACCATCATATTTACATTTCAGGCAAAGCACCTCAAACGTAAAGAAATGAAATCCCCAAGGAGAACCACGCTGTGCTGTATGATTATTGTGATTTATTTTTCCCAAGCTACACCGAACTTGAATTTAGAGTCTATTGTTCATCCCTTGGTGAGTACATCCATGGGTGCTATGTTTTTCCCTGTCAAATTTTTCTGACTTCCTGGGACTGTTGCAGATGGAAATTGCTTTAAAAAATGTTTTTTGGGGCCTTTGAGAAAATGTTGCAAATGCGAGGAGGGGGTGGTAGACATACGTGGATGTTCGTTTGTCTACCTGGCTACAACTTACCATACTCCGCCATTAGTGGTGGTCAAGGGAACATCCCTCAGGCTTCCCTCCTTAAGTAAATGGCCACTTTGAGGCCTGAAACTCTACTCTGAAGCTGACAACAATGACCAGAAGGCAGATTTTGAGGACTGGGGGCAGGACACGTTCTCAAAGCATTTATTTTAACGTGAGCATCAGACTAGAACACATTTCAAAATGTGTGTGTGTGTGTGTGTGTGTGTGTGTGAGAATCACAGATTGATATAGCTGAAGGGGCTGTCGACGTCATTTCAACTCTTTGCTCACAAATTATCCAGGTGGTTTTGTCTTGTCTTTGGGAAGACAAGACAGAGGATAATAAATACTCCCTCCTTCCTTATGGAAATTATTAGTTATTCCTTCCTTAGGCCACTTCGTGCACCAGAGACAGGGCACGTTACTGGTTTTGAAACCTTGGGAAACCGATGTAATTCTCTCTGTGGTTCAATTTCTTCACCTGTCTCATAATGAGAATAGTACCAATTTCCTGCTTGCTACAAGAATTAGGTCAGTTAATATGTGCGAGATGCCTTAGAACAGTGCCTGGCACATAATAAAAGCTGTGGTGTTGTTTCTGCTGCTATTTCTCTACTGTAATGGCATTTTTTGCTACTGATTTTTTTAAAAGGTATTTTAACACTGTTGTATTCAGTCTGTCACTACTGTTAGAATTTCACTGGTACTTTGTGGCATTATAGACTGTCTCTTTCGGTCTTCTTAGTACTTAAAAAAAATTATGTATTTATTTTTGAGAGAGACAGAGACAGCATAACCAGGGAAGGGACAGAGAGAGAGGGAGAGAAAGAGTCCCAAGCAGGCTCCGTGCTGTCAGCACAAGCCTGACACGGGGCTTGACCCCACAAACCGTGAGATCATGACCTGAGCCGAGATTGAGAGTCAGGCACTCAACCAGTTGAGCCACCCAGGCGCCCCTCTGCTTGGTAGTTTTTAATTTTAATTCTTTGTCCCCTGTTTCCGTTATCAAATTTGTTTTTATATTCGTGTTTGCCCAATCTTTGTTCTTTGTTTTTTGTTTAGCCTTTAACGGACCACTTTGTGTTGGAAGTCCTGTTATAAACAACATGTGTTTGAAGTTTCGTCTTGTTTTTTCTTTTCAACAAAATCTGAGTAAATCTGACTTTGCTTGGGGGAGCATAGTTTATTCACATTTAATGTCATATAGAAGATGCTTGATCTTACTTTCAGGGTTGTGTTTTAGAACTTGATACACTTAATTCCTCTTTTCTGTTTTTGTGTCTTTCATTTGACCTAGGTTTGCTTTGTCTTTTTCATTATTTCTGTCATGACTTGGGAGGTGTGCATTATGTGTCTCTTCTCCCAAACTCCAGTGTGAGGTTCCCCTTGTGTGATCATAGGCAGCAGTTTGCCCAGGTAAATGGGAGAGAAACATTCACACCTCCTGTGACTTCACGGGGTCAGTGCAGAGCTCTAGTTACTCAGACGTGTGGGCAGAAAGCCCGAGGCTGAAGTGATCTCAGCAATACAGTCAGCTTGACCTTTATTCCAGAATTTCCTAGCACTCCTGGCCTCCTGGCTTCAGCTGTGCCCTCCCCCTAGACCAGGATGGCCTCCGTTGCTGTGGCCCCAACAATACCCCTCCATCCATCTGGGGGCATTGGCTGGTCGGAGGATAAGCCAGTGACTTCCCAAGGCTTCTGGTTGGGTTCAAATTCCATCTTTCTAGAAACTCCCAGCACTATCCCAGAGGTCTCCACTTTTCCTGTCTAGATCTGCCTTTGAGATATAATATATTCACACAACCCAAAGGCCAAAGACCATCTCATTGGAGAGATACACCTGAACCTGCCTCATCAGCCTGTACTGCCCTAAGATGCTCATCCGTTCCCAAGGCTGACCTTCTACCATTTCAAATGCAGCCCTGTGCTGATGAGCTTTAAAAAAAATATTGTGGTAACATACATACCATTTACCATCTTAACCATTTAAAAAAATCTAATGTTTATTTTTTTTAATTTTTTTTAATGTTTATGTATTTTTAAGAGAGACAGAGACAGAGCTTGAGCAGGGGAGGGGCAGAGAGAGAGGGAGACACAGAATCCGAAGCAGGCTCCAGGCTCTGAGCTGTCAGCACAGAGCCCCACGCGGGGCTCAAACCCACGGACCGTGAGATCATGACCTGAGCCGAAGTCGGACGCCCAACCAACTGAGCCACCCAGGCGCCCATGATGTTTATTTTTGAGAGAAAGACAGAGCACAAGAGGAGGAGGGGCAGAAAGAGAGGGAGACACAGAATCCCAAGCAGGCTCCAGGCCCTGAGCTCTCAGCACAGAGCCCGACGTGGGGCTCGAACTCACGAACTGCGAGATTATGACCCGGGCCAAGTCAGACGCTCAACCGACTGAGCCACCCAGGCGCCCTACCTTAACCATTTTTAAGTTCAGTGGCGTTAAGTAGATCCACATTGCCATGCAACAAGTGTGCAGAACTTTTTCACCTTGCAAAACTGAAGACCTAACCCCGTTAAACAAGAACTTCCCATTCCCCCCTTTCGTCCAGCTCCTGGCAATCACTATTATTACTCTCTTTTTATGATTTCCACTACTTTAGGTACCTCACGTAAGTGGAGTCATCCAGTATTTGCCTTTTCGTGACTAACTTATTTCACTTAGCATAATGTCCTCAAAATTTACCTACGTTGTGACATGCGTCAGAATTTCCTTCCTCGCTTAAGTCTGAATAATGATCCGTTGGACGTATATCCCACATTTTGTTTATCCGTCTACCCATTCATGGACACTTGGGCTGCTTTTATGTCTAGGCTATTCTGAGTAATGCCACAGCGAGCCTGCGTGTGCAAAGTGGGGTGGTGGGCTTTCAAAGTGTGGCAACGGAGGCCCTCAAACTTCAACGTGCGTATGAACCCACCGGCGCACCTGATTAAAGTGCAGATCTCAACTCAGGAAGTCTGGGGTGGGGCCCGGATGTTGCATTTCTGACAAGTTGACGTCGTGCCTGCTCCGGTGGCTGTGCTTTGAGCCGCAAGACTGTAGACACACAGCCCACCGCATCATCGCTGAGTGTGAAACCCAGCTCTGGTCAGCCTGGGAAATTTCGTCTTTTCTCCGTCTCCCTGAACCTGTTTCCTCTACATAGCATGAGAATAAATAGCATCTCCTCCATTGCTTTGTTGTGAGGGTCAGACGCTCTCATACCAGCACAGGGCCAACACTTAAGATTTGGTACAGAGTTATTTACTTTTACTTTGCTAGCACACGTAAACCCGTGCTAGGATGCCTTTGCGAGGTGATAATTATCTAACTGGAGGCAAAGATGTCAAGCTGGGGAGTCCAGCTCAAGAAAAAGAGGAGTGAGGGACAGGGCCTTGGCGAGGAGAAGAGAGATCTGACGACCCTGGAGCCTTTAGTCACCACCTTATTTGTCATCCTGTTCCCTGGGATTTTTTTTTTTTTCCCACATAAAATGCCACCTCTCATTCCTGACTGATCGCCCATGATCACTCCAGGCCACCCCTTCCCCCACCCAAACCCATACACAATTATTTTAAAGTCATCATGTCCAAGAGGTGGGGCATTTCCTGGATTTGGTGACCTTGTGTCTTCTGGCTGAGACTTGGCCATCAGGAAATCCCCTTTGGATGGGGATGGCCATTGTCCTCAGAGACTCATCTGGGTACCTCTACATGGACAAGCAGGAGGAAGTCCCCTGGAGGTTCTGTTTTCTTCTCCGAAGTAAAGACTCATCTGAGAAGATCTATGCTCCCCTAAGAGTTCTCCTCAGTACCCAATGTTTAAGAGAAAAGGCAAGTGCCGGAGTCACAGCGGTCCCTGAATGGGGGTGACACGAGGACTCAGGAGGGCAAGGATGGCCTCTGGTGAGTCCCAAGCCAGCCTGACACACAGACACATTCCACTGCCAGAAACCGTACGAGCGGCTGGTGTGCCTGAGAACATTGCTTTCCACGACGTGAGAAACTGAGCCTCAGAATGAGCGAGTGACTTTTCCAACCAGGAAGAGGGGGAGGTGGTGGGATTCGGTGCTTGGTGCGATTCTAACGTTTGCCTTGTTGAAATCCAGGCCCCCCTGACCTTGCAACCCATCTCTTGCAACCCTTTCCTGACCTTGAAACCCATCTCTTTGTACCTTCTCAAATCTGGGAGAGCCAAGGGTATTCACCACCACCCCCGCAGGGGACTCCTCAAAGACTTTATTGCTTTCAGTATTTTGGCCGCATTTGCCCCAACGATTGCGGGACTTAAAACAAAAAATGGGTTATTCTCACAAGAGGCTGTGCATCCTCGCTGGAAGGACGACAGAGGCAGTAGGTGACAGAGCTACAGAGGCGGTGCTTTGCAGAGATGTCCCCTGACAGTTCCCGATACTCACCATAAGAATGCAGGAAATAGTTCAAAAGTAGTGTTTCTCAAAAGATGGCCTCATGTCCAGAGATGTGCCCATTAAAAAGACAGTTTTTGTCACCGCACCCCAGACCTGCTAACCTGGACTGGGGGGAGCCAAGGGAAGTGATCCTTACGGTCACAGATTGAAATGCTATCTACGAGGGAATTGACTGCACCTGAATTGTTTTAACCTCAAGCCTTTAGCCCCTCCAGAAAATGGAGCAAATGAAATCGAGACCTTGGAGAGCTTCCCGAAGGTGATTGCCAGGGATCACCTTCTCCTGGGCCGAGTCCCCCAACCAACAGCCCATGAAGAGTGGATGGAGAAGCCTTCCTGGTGGCTCCCCACTCCCTACCCCTAGCCCCCCAGAGAGGATGCAGGCAGGAATACAGCAGAAGCCCCTTCCCTTCTGCCTGGGCACAGAGCCAAAGCAGTCTCCGGGAGAAGCTGGACAGGAACCAGCCCTGTGCACTGACTTTGCTCCCTCTTGGTTGCTGCGCATCTAGGTACAGCTAAGATAAGCCCGTTGCAAACGAAAGAGCACTTGGGCTTCTGACATTCCAATCGTCATGCATCGTTCCTCTACTTGTTTCTTCAAGAACATTTATGAACTGTCAGGCACACCACTCCCGTACAGATCCTCATGGCTGTTAACACTGTCATCGAAAAGAAGGAGGGGATAGGAGGAGGTGACAGAGAAAGAAAGGGTGCTAGGTAAGAGAGCCGAGGTCACGGAGACAGACCCACAGTTTCCCGGGGTATCTCCTGATAAAATCATTCAATGCCCGTATGGACACGTGCAAACTCTGGAGCCAGGCTAGCCCGGTTGGAGTCCTGTTCTGCCCTTTAAAGGCTGTGTGACCTTAGGCAAGTCATTTGACCTCTCTGCACCTGTGCTTTCTCATCAGGGAAATGCGAATAATCATAGCACCTATGCCTTAGATTGTCGTGGGGATTAAATACCTAAGCACGCATCAAGTGCTCAACAGTGCCCGACACAGGAGTGTTGGATATATCTTAGGCATTCATATTTTTATAAATTGTTATGACGGGAGATAACTAGAAAATAATGAGAGATACCACAGATGGTAGAATGAGCTTTGCCTGGGGTGGCGTTCATGGATGTGTTGAGCTCATGGGAAAGGACACACCGCAGAGGGTAGGGGCCGTATGGCTCGCCTGTTGAGCCTTGAAGGGAGTCTGGATTGGGACGCACAGCCTAGCAGGGATGAACTAGGAAACCCAGGTCAGGTCAAGGTGTGGTTACCAGCCGCAGAATTGGCAGTGATCCCAACAAAGCCAATCAAAGTCAACTCTTAAAGAAAGCTGCATGATGACAGGAGAAGAGCTTTATAGAGACGAAGTGAGTGTCAATGTGTGGATGAAAGGGTCCATGGCAATGGTGCTTCTAGAAGAGCGTGACGCTTTGTCCCAGAATAGCTCTTACAACGTCACCAAACTATTCTCGGTGCCTTACATTTGTTAATCATTTGATCCTTATGACAACCTCACGAGGCAGACTATTTTTATTCCTATATTATAGATGAGTACGGAGGCACAGAGAGGTTAAATAACTTGCCCAAGTTCACACAGCCACTTAACAGCAGAGCTAGGATTTGAACTCAATGTCCGTAGGGTCTTTGCTCTTAACTATTATAGTCTATGGTATAATTCAACTTTATTAAGGGCTTACTATGTGTCACATGCAGTTGATGTAATTCTTATAACAGTTCTATGAGGTCGGAAATATTATTATTCCATTTTACAGAAAAGAAGACTGAGACTCAGAGAGGGTAAGTAAGTTCCCCCAGGTCACATAACTAGTAAGCAGCACAACCTTGTGCCCGGGCAGTCTGACTCCAGAGCTAGCTCTCACAGCCCCTGCCACAGAAAGCAACAATAGAACCATCCAGAAGAAAAAGGAACAAAGGAGGAGAAGATGATTTCTAAGCATGCATAATGTAAACAGCCCTAACGCAGCAGAAAGATTGGGGTGGGGACAAGCTGAGTGCTGAGGAGAGGTCATGTCTCAGACTTGTCTAAGACTCGTCACCGGAATGACTCAGGGTTCAAGTCTTAGGCAGAAAGCACAAGTTAAAAACACCATAATTTGTATTTCTTGACCCAACTCAAACTACAGGAACTCGGAGAAACTCAGATGTGGTGATTGGTTCCGCTCCTGGGCCTAGAGACTGGTCTATGAAAAGTGAACACCAGCTCACATTCATAGAGTTCCCACCATCCGCGGGGTACAAGGTGCTCACCCGGAATCCGCAGCCCTACGCTCAGCTCCTACGTTTCAGAGCACATGAGCAGGACCAAGGAGATAAGACATCTCTAACCCTCACTGACAGTCTCCTAAAATGTTCTTTCAGATTCTCCGTGAACATGAACTAGCGGGGAAGGAGCCACTAAGGCAAAAACGAGCAGGTAGGTAAAGCCTTTGCTTGGCAGTCTCTTCTGGTAAGCCCGATCAAATGACATTTGCTGTAACTTTTTAAACCCTGTGATCCCTATAATGCAGTCTCCGAGTGTATCAGGGTTCAATTTCTAGAAGCAATTACAAGGCAACTCCATTCCCTCCTCTACCTAATGATATTAAATGGATTTTAGCAGCACGTTACAAGCCCCTCACCTCCCCCCTCTCTGCTCCCGAGATCCTGAAGAGTCTGTCCCCAGTGGCTCTCTCCTCAACTCCCACTTCCTTGCCTTTCAAAAACACCAAACTGATTCCCCATATAAAATCTTTCATGGGCTCCCAAATGCCTTGGATCTCTCCAAGGATTTTCTCAAATCCAATCACCTGCTGGATTCTTAGCAGACCCCATGTGATTTTCCCACTTATTCTCCTTCTGTTTCCTTTCACATGGTCGCTGCCCACCCACCACCCTCCTTTGCCGGAGAGACTCCATTCACATGGGCTCCTGCCACGTAAGGCTTTCCATTGATTCCCCAGACAGGGAGGGGCCGTTTTCCTGGGTTCCCACTGCTCTTGTCACATTCCCATAGCACAAGATGCGTCCCAATGCTTTGTAATAACTTTACTTCCCGTTTGTCATCCCCAGTAGACATGAGTTCCCTTGAACCCTCCTCATCTCTGTAGCCTGGCACTGAGCCCAGTTTCTCAGTAAATGGGTGAACAAATAGAGAGCGTATGTCCCTGTCGCAGCTGCCCCTTTGTGAGTCGAGGGTGGGTTCCTACCGCCAAAGCTGCTGGCCCAGTGTCTGTACCAATTCTGGAGAAGGTAGAACTTCTTAACCTCCAGGATTATGACTGAATCCCGCCCAGACATGCCGTGGTTTGGTCTGTTTGGTCTTGTCATCTGCAGGAGTCATAAAGCCGCCAAAGAGGGTGGGCTTTCGCGGGGGCCAGGATAAAGGTGTCTGTTGGAGCTTCTCAGAGCACCAACCAGATCGACCTCTGCCCAGTGCTTGAAATGACAATTCGATCATATTTTATTAAGGACTCAAAATGTTCGCTGGAAGGTCATACCTTCATTTTTTCTTCCTTTGTCTTTCTTTCCTTCCTTTTCTGTTTCGGCTTTGTTTTATATCCTTATACACCCTCACTCCCCCACTCCCCTCCTTCCCTGAAGCAGTCCGAAGCACACAAGTGGCACTTTCTGTGCGTTTAAACAAAGCATCAGTGCAGGCACTCCCATCCCCTGAGCCCCCTGGCACCCTGTGACAGGAGCGGAGCTGGAGATGTCCCCATTCGGTACTTTGAACGATTTTCTTTTTAAGAACCAAAGTACTTGCGGGTGAGTTCCAGCTCCAGGTTTCTCCCAGGCTCCTGTAAGGCCCAGGCTGCCAGCCTCCTCGGGGACAGTCGGTGACCATACAGCTGTAAAAGTAGCGTCTTCCTGCGCTTCCGGGCCTGGCTGTCTGTGACCCGTGGTGACATCGTGAGAGGTTAGCCTTTTGGAAGGAAGCCACGTCTGCGTCTAAGGATTTGACATTCCAAAATTTTCCAGATGTGCTTTCATTGGAAACAATCATGATGATAATAAATTACCATAAAAATATATTTTCCGTTTATTATACATGATCCTCTGTGCGCTTAGGCTTTTAGAGTCGTTTTGGAAGGTGATAAGGACTCAACCCATCATCTGCAGAAGACAGTTTGACCTTGGGGCTTCTACAAAATCACCAAAGTAAGGAGTGGCTATGGAAAGACTCAGGGGCTAGACCTCAGAGAGCTGAAATATAAATTGCGATGGAGAGCACCATTCTCGAGGAAAACAGTGAAAGAAACCAACAGGAGGCAAACAAAGTTTCCAAGAAAAGAGAATTGTCAACAGGCATTTCCTTTTGAGGCACTGGATCAAAGCTTTAGGGTTTGGGATAGATAGAATCATCTTTAAAAGTAGGATCAGCACTCACTTTTATGCTCAGAGCACTCTGGGCTTCTTCCTAAGTTACTCCGGTCAGTTATATATCTTCACTGGGCCCTGATATGCACACACACGTACATATATGTGTATGTGTATGTATATTACATACATCATACAAACACAGACACATAATTGCATGCAAGTATCTATATGAGTTATTACATTTCAGAGTTGTTGAGATGATTAAATAATATTATGTACATTTTATTTAAATGTTACTAGGGTTATCTAGGGATTTATTCGTGTGTTTTTTTCATTGAAAACAAAGATTTATTTATAGAAATAATATTGCATTTGAAAGAGCCTGAAATCCCTGGTGCAAAGAAGCTCCCGTGTAGCCACTGAAGGCAGGAGAAGGGAAGCCATGGCATACCAGTAGTGTTTTAGGAAAACGAATTCAGAGCCCTGTTGGGGAAGAGGAGTCTGCACAAATACTTAGAGGCCAGAAGATCAGAAGAAGGGTGGATCTTCCAGTTAGAGCAGAGAGGCTACTGGGGGGCAGGGGGGAAATCAGAATAGGACAGAGCATCCAGAGTTACGCCCCGATGAAACCAGGAAGTGGATTCTAGATCGGCTGAGAGGCTGGCACACAGAAGGGACCGATGGAAGCCACCTGAAGTGAAAATTAGCAGATGGTTATGGCTGGATGAATTAGAGGAAGAAGTCAGTGCTCGGGAGACCGGCGAGGAGGCTCAGCAGCATGGATCATCACTGGTCCTGGTTCCTCGAGTGAAACGGGGAAGGAGAAAGGGGAGCATTTGTGAAAGACCTTACAAGGAGCGGGTCAAGAAGACATGGAGACAGACTTGACATAGGGTGAAGGGTAGCGGTGATCCACGTGATATGGTAGGAGCACACGGACCTGGGTGTCTGAGGGATGTGGAGGCCACAGGGAGAACCACAGCTGGAATGGGAATCTTGTCTCGGAGGTTTGCCAGGAAGCTCCAAAGTTACTCTTAAGGGCAATCTTCTCAGGGGAGTGCGAGTGGACGTGTCTTTATTGGTTAGAAGTAACACGCGTGTGTTCTCCGTGTCGTGGTGGAAGTGCTCTCTGCCAGGTTTCTGAGCCCGATTGGGGAATATTCTTGGGTCCTGGGCTGAAAAGTCCTCGTGGGTTCTTCTTTGGTTTCAGAAGGAATGACTGAGAATGGACACCTTTTCGAGAAAGGGAGACCCAGGGTGTCCTAGCCCCGTGCAGGAAGGGCTCACATTTAAGTACCTACCTAATGAGGAAATTGGGCTGCTGACTGCTGGTGTGGGAATCTCAATCTTTCTGCAGACCTGGCGGCCCCAGTGTGTGCTCACCCTTCATCTGGGTCCAGGAAATGCTGTGCATTGTCTAGGTTGAGGAACGTATTTCGGGGAGCGGGGGTTATGTTTTTGTCTTTCTTAGGATAGCACACGGCATTTAGTGCACTGAGCAAGCGGAGGTGGTGGCAGAGTGAGATGGCAAGAATGAGGCGCTCTCAGCCCAAGGTCTGGGGTTGGTTTTAGGGTTGATTGTTCCATGTGTTGGGAATGCTTTTTCCTTTTAATTTCTTTTCTTTTTATTTTACATTTATTTATTTTTGAGAAACGGAGTGAGACAAAGCGTGAGCAGGGTGGGTGGGGGCAGAGAGAAGGAGACACAGAATCTGAAGCAGGCTCTAGGCTCCGAGCTGTCAGCACAGAGCCCGACACGGGGCTCGAACCCACAAACTGTGATATCATGACCTGAGCCGAAGTCGGACGCTCAACTGACTGAGCCATCCAGGTGCCCCAATTTCTTTTTTTTTTAATTAAAATAATTTTTTTGAGAGAGAGAGAGAGAGAGAGAGAGAGCATGAGCGGGGGAGAAGAGCAAAGAGAGAGGGAGAGAGAATCTTGAACAGGCTCCACACTACACTCAGCATGGAGCCCGATGCACGGCTCGATCTCATCATAACCCGAACCAAAATCAAGAGTCAGACGCTTAACTGACTGAGCCACCCAGGCACCCCCCTTTTAATTTCTGATTAGTGTCGTTTGTTTGTGTAACAGTCTCAAAGGTGAGACCATTGGAGTAGCATTAGCTTTTCTTGACCTACCAGGGGGCATCTGCCTGTAATATCATCATCACACTTACTATCATTAATATTATTCTTTCTACCTGCTGTTTCAAAAGGGCTACTATAGGCCAGACAATTTGCTAGGGGCCCTCATACCAACTTCTTAGCAATTCTGCAGAGAAGATATCACTCCTTTTTTACACATGGCAAAGTGTGGCTCACAGAGGCTAAATGGCCTGTCCAGGTAAGAAGGTATTTCGGGGGCGCCTGAGTGGGTCAGTCGGTTAAGTGTCCGACTTTGGCTCAGGTCACGATCTCGCGGTTCGTGAGTTCGGGCCCTGCGTCGGGCTCTGTGCTGACAGCTCGGAGCCCGGAGCCTGCTTTGGATTCTGTGTCTCCCTCTCTCTCTGCCACTCCCCTGCTCACGCTCTGTCTCTCTCTGTCTCAGAAATAAATAAAACATTAAAAAAATTTTTTTTGGAAGGTATTCCGCTGCCCCTCTCGCTGGCTCCACAGTCCATGCTCATAGTGCAGAGTTAATAATTTTCAACATGTGTTTCTGGCTCCTGCCCATTAGATTCCATTCCACGGTTATTAGAGCAGCCTCACAGGGTAAGGAGTACAGAGCACCGTCTTCAACTTAGCGGGAAAAGAGCTTTCTACGGGTCTGACCTGGGTATGTGGCAAACTAGTAGAAACGACTCATTTCTCCAGACTTTACAGCCCAGCGTTCTATGACATGCGGGGATGCTCACCCTCTCTCCCATCCACACCTGCCAGTGAGCCATAGCCTGGGGCTCTGGTGGTTTTCCCCTGCGTGAACAAACCTTTCTAAAATCCAAATGGAGAACAGGATCCTTGGTCTATCTGTTGACAATGGTGCAATCAGAGACAGATGTGTAGCCAAATTGCTACCTATTAGAACATAGTAAGAAACAAGCAGAAAGACAGGCGTTTGTTAATATTTACCTGCTCCAGGGTGAGAAACAAGGGAGCCAAGTCTTCAGTG